TTGAGGTTTCACAGGTGGACCTGTACGCACGCTTACATGGTGCATGCGTACAGCTCCACCAGTGGGAGTCCGATCAGGTACCTCGCCGCATACGGTCGCCTACGACCCAACCGCGAAGTATTGTTAATCGGTTGAGCCCATGCGCTCCCAGTGCGTTTATTCAAGAAAGAAGAACGAAGACAAAGACTTTTTACCTGCTCGCGGAAGTGCTTCAGTGTTGTTGTGCACATTTACGGCCGCCAGCCGGCCCATTGTTCTATTGTGTAGTGCTAGTTAGTGCCCCACGTTCTGCCGATTTCCAGTAAACCGTAAGTAGTTTATTGCACACTCGCTGCCTTAGAGGCAGCAATTCTATTGCTTAAATTCTGTGTTCGCTTGTCGCTTTAGGCGACAGCCAGGTACACACCCTAACGTACCAACGCGCTAGTTGTATAAGTGTTCGTTTAGGCACACACCTCCCCCGCCGAAAGGTGGGGGGGGGCTTGATACAGAAGCGTTTTTTTTTTCATTCACTAACACGATGGCGGCTATCTCAATAGCCGAAATCACCGACTTTTTAAGTCGAGTGTGCCCCGACGTTTGGGCTACGTTCTTAGCTCAACGTAATGGGCTACGTTCTTAGCTCAACGTAATGTGCCCACCGCTGAACGCCCTGTACTACGGATCGACGACCCTATGTCGCCGAGCACCGGGCCCTCGACCCCTGTGTCCATCGACACAGTTTATTCTGCGCTCTCCACCCGCGGTCCCTCCCCGGTGTTTTCGGACGCCGAATCAGGCTCCGAGATGGAAACGGATAACATCCGACCCGAAAAACCCGAAGACGAAGGCTTCACCCTAGTCTCGGGTAAAAAGCGTAAGAGCGCCGCCGCGAAAAGGGAGACCAGCCTCACTCTGCCCCTACGTCGCCCAACGCCACTCCGGCCAAGAAAGTCGCGCCTTCCGCACGCAACAAGACTGCGAACAAAACCGCGAACCCGACTCTGGCCATAGTGAGGAAGGAGAAGCCGCCGCCCGCAATAATTTTGCAGGATAAATCTCGCTGGAGCAACCTATCCAAGTGGATAGACTCCAAAAAGATCTTCTGCCCCAAAGTCCACAATGGACCCTAGGGCATCCGTATGCACGTCGCAACGACGGACGATTTCCACGCTTTAACTGCGCATCTTAAGGCTCAAAATCTGAGATTTCACACATACTCCCTCGCGGAGGACCGTAACCTCCGTGTTGTAGTTCGCGGACTCCCTAAGGAGCTCGATACCGAGCATATCTTAAGCGATCTTAAATCGCAAAACTTTCCAGTCAGAGAAGTGCACAGGATGCACCACTCGACCGATAAAAAACAGTATCTAGATCTTTGCCTAGTAATTTTGGACCTGTCTCCAGAGGGCAAGGAAATTTACAACATCAATCTCACGGGGATTGCTGTAGAGGCCCTGCGTAATAGGGGCATCGTTGGCCAATGCCACCGATGTCAATTATACGGCCACTCGGCCAGAAATTGTTTCGCCCGGCCTAGGTGCGTTAAGTGCCTAGGCGATCATGGAACACCCGAGTGTCCCCGAACGCACGAGATGGAGGGCCCTCCGAGCTGTGTTCTGTGCGGTGAAGAGGGACACCCACGAGCTATCGCGGGTGTACCAAAGCGCCGCGTAGGAAGCAGAACGGAGGAGCAATCCGACGCGGGCGAGCGGGCAACTCCAGTAGGTCGCGCCCACCGCATTCTGCCCCATCAGTTGCACCAACTTCGGTGCCTCAACCCGCGCCCGCTTAGGCTACAGCCAAGCCCGCCGCCGTTAAAGGGACTTCCGGGCAAGGCCCAAGCCCTCCGGTGCCTTCAGCACCTAAACCCAACGCCTGGGTTAATCCCTCGGCGATTGTCAGCGCGGCCGCCTCACGGCCAGTGCCTCCTCGTCAGGCCCAGAAGTCCAAACCCGCCTCTCAGGCACCGTCAAACATCGACACTGACTTTTCGTTAGTGTTCAACTTCGCCAGCAATATAAATGTGGCCGAAGTCACATCCTTAGCGCGCAAACTTCGTGAGGCCAAGTCCATTCAAGATAGGCTCAATGCTACCATTGAGCATATCAATCTTATCCAAGCGATAGGTTCGTTCCAGTGTGCCTAAACCAACTTCTTTCGAAATTAAAACGGAAGTAAGCCTAGGTCTCTGACTGTCGCGTACTTTAATGCAAACGCTATCAGAGATCAAAAGGAAGAGATAATGTATTTTTTTGCGCGATCATGATATCGACATCATGCTAGTTCAAGAGACCTTCTTGAAACCTAGTTTGAGCGAACTCAAAATAGCTAGCTATACCTTAGTAAGAAATTATAGGCTAACCGGACCTAAACGCGGCACCTTGATCTACTACAAAAGGTCCTTGCAATGTGTACCGATAGATACTCCGCCGCTTACTAACTTAGCAGCGTCGGTCTGTAGGATAGCACCTACGGGCCATCCGCCAGTAATAGTTGCATCAACATACCTGCCTCCCTTAAAAAGTATATTAGATACTGACATATCGGCTCTATTAAACCTAGGCCCTTGTGTATTAATCGCGGGAGACCTAAATAGCAAACACGTTAGCTGGAATTCTAACGTTAACAATCCTAACGGAATTATTTTAAGAGACCTCACAGAGAGACTTAACTTCGACGTTATCGCTCCCGAGAGTCCAACACGCTATCCTTATGCAAATAACCAACATCCGGACGTCCTTGATATAGCACTGCTAAAAGACATCCGACTTACTATTAATTCGATAGAGGTTATTATCAAACTAGTCTCAGACCACAGGCCGGTCGTTTTACAACTGGGCTGGCCGGCAGGTGAGGTCCCTCAGACCATAACTATTGTCGACTGGCGTAAACTTGAGGTCTAACTTAAGTCTACGAACTCCCAGCATTTGGACACTATACCTGACAAGATAGACTCGCTTGAGGAAGCCGATAGGGCGATTAGCGCCCTTTCGACTCACCTCACATCAGCGGTCGAAGAATGCTCCCGTAGGGTTCGTGTGTCGAGCGATCAATACACGAAACTTCCGGCGGATGTTCGACGGCTGTTTAGAGTGAAGAATTCCGTGCTTAAAACTTATGACCGCTACCGCACTGAAGCCAATAAACTTCGGGTACGTTCTCTTCAAAACGAGATTAAACAACGAGTAGCCGAGTTTAGAAATGATAGCTGGGATAACTTCTTAGAAAGTATCGAACCATCTCAAAACGCTTTCTGGAAATTAACGAGAGCTCTTAAATCCGATAAATCCTCACCGATGCCACCTCTCGTGAGGCTGGACCACCCTGATCTCGCCCTAGACGATCTCGAAAAAGCCGAATGCTTAGACGACAATCTAGAGTACCAGTGCACGCCATCCACCGCACCAACAAATCCCGCTCACCTACTAGAGGTAGAAACGGAAGTAGAACGTAGGTCTGCGCTGCCACCAGCGGGCGAACCATTCGATCCTGTGACAGTAGATGAAGTCACCGAAACCATCAAAAGCCTTAAGAATAGATCAGCCCCTGGGCCAGACGGTATCAGCAACAAGGTGATCAAATCCCTTTCGGCGCCACTTATTTACCTTCTTGTAGGAATATTTAACACTTTTCTCATGAACTGCTCCTTCCCGGACATCTAGAAAGAAGCAGGCATAATAGGGATCCCAAAACCGGGTAAACCGCGTAATCTTCTTTCTAGCTACAGTCTGCTCAACCATTAGTCTGCTCAACACTTTGGGTAAACTATACAAGCGTATTATTCATAAGCGTCTCCGTCATTACACCGAATCTAACAGACTCCTCCCAGACGAGCAGTTTGGCTTTAGAGCCAATCACTCATGCACCCACCAGATTCATCGCCTAACAGAATACATTCTGTCTGGCTTCAACCAAAACCCGTCAAGGAAAAAGTCTCGAAACACGGGAGCCCTCTTCTTCGATGTCGCGAAGGCGTTTGACAAGGTCTGGCATGACGGCTTGATTTACAAGCTGTACAAACTAAACGTGCCCGATAGGTTCGTGCACATCATACGAGCCTTCCTTTCGAACCGCACTTTTCGATATCGGGTGGAGGGAACCCGTTCTTCGAAACGCTTCCTCAAGGCCGGGGTCCCGCTAAAACAGCTAAAACCGCCGTCAAGACAGGGCTCCGTCCTATCTCCACTCCTCTTCACACTCTTCACGAGTGATATCCCTAAAGACCCCGTGGTGAACACCGCACTGAATAAAACTATTATTTACGGATTTTATCGCGATTAATTACTTTAATTTATTTTTATTATTATCCCGACGTTTCGGGTGCTTTACAGCACCCATGGTCACGGGGGGGGGACTGAGATGTTTGACGTCCCAATGTCATTGTTAGCCCGGCTATCTTCAGTTTTTGAATATTAATTTTTGGTCCGATTTACGCGAAACGAACTTACAGTATCTTGAAGTCTTGCAGTGGTATGCTTGGGTTTGGGTTTAATTTTGTTAATTATAGGATCCCAAGCAGATGGCAGCACCCAACCATCTTCTCTATTGAAATTAGGATGTTTTTTAATTTCAATAGCCTCACGTATCATCCTTGGTAGGAATCGGTGTTCTTTTGCGAGGACTTGTGGTTTATCAAATCTGATGTAATGGTGGGGACGATCCTGAACATTTTCACAGACTGCTGACTTCCCGGAGCGTCGGTGATTCACGTCAGCTATATGTTCGTTCACGTGGGTTTTTATGGATCTTTTTGTTTGACCTATGTAAGAGAGACCACATTCACAATCTAACTTGTACACTCCTGCACCTTGTAGAGGGATATTACACTTGACGGATGGTAAAAATTGACTAATCTTCTTCGGCGGCTTGTAGTATGTTTTAATGGAAGCTCGCTTCAAGATGTAGCCAACCTTGTCTGTGACTCCTCTGACATATGGTAGTACAGCAGGCACACGCTCGACTGTGGCCGGCTTCACTCGGTCACTGTGACGTAGGCGCGGGATCCGAAGCTTGTTGTCTTACAACACTTGCTTGACATGCTGAAGTTGGGCGGCCAGATGTTTTCTGTCACAGATCCCTCGTGCTCTCTGAAACAAAGATTTACCCACGGTAGCTAACTGTGAAGGATGATGGTGAGATTCACCATTTAAATATCGGTTGGTATGGGTCTTTTTTCTATACACAGTGTGACCAATAGTGTTATCAGGATTTCGAATGACTAAAACATCTAGGAAAGCTAAAGAATTATTTGCCTCTAACTCCATTGTGAATTGTATTTTAGAGTTTATAGAGTTAAGGTGGTCTATAAATGAAGTTACTTTGTCAGATGGTAAAATTGTGAAAGTGTCGTCTACGTACCGCTTGTAGAATCTTGGATTTACAGGAGCAGTAAGAAGGGCTTTCTCCTCGAAGTCCTCCATGAATATGTCGGCGACTATGGGAGATACAGGTGAGCCCATCGCCACACCATCTACTTGCTTGTAGAACTCTTCCTTCCACAATAGATAGCCAGATGTGAGGCAATGTTTAAGTAATACTGCATATTCAGCAGGCATGTTGTTATCTTCTAGCTTCCTAGTTACAATTGAGATGCAGTCTTAAATAGGTAGGCATGTGAATAGTGACTGAACATCAAAACTGACCATAGTTTCATTGTCAGCGAGATGTTTTTTATCTCACTAAAAAAATGGTATGAATCCTTTGTGTGTGCTCTGGTATGTCCTCTCAGTGGTGTCAGTATTTTTGCCAAGTGTCGTGCCAGCTTATAAGTTGGTGAATCGATCTGGCTCACTATAGGACGTAGTGGAGCGTTTGGTTTGTGTATCTTCGGCAACCCATACAACCTCGGTGGTTTGGTACGGGATGGTATTAGCGAAGTCACGTCGAGATTTAATTTTTCGGAGTATTTATTAAATCGCTAGTTGCTTTAAGCGTGTTAGTTGTGGGGTCTGTTTTGACCTTTTTATATGTACTTTCATCCGATAAAAACTGTAGTATTTTAAAACTATACTCTGACGTGTCCATTATTACCGTAGCGTTTCCTTTATCCGCGCGGAGAATCGTTAACTCTGGTCTGTTCCGTAAGTTAATCAACGCTGTAAACACCGCACTCTTCGTCGACGATACAGCACTCTATGTCTCGGACTACAACAAAAATAGAATTTCTTTAAAGCTCAAAAAAGCGACCAATCGCCTGGGCGAATGGTTCCGCCTATGGAGAATTGACGTGAATCCCGAAAAAAGTGCAGCAGTATACTTTCAATGGAATTCAACAGCAGGTTCTAAACCAAAAACGATTTCTCTATACGACCGCCCTCCCTTGGGAAAAATCGGCCAAATATCTAGGCGTCACGTTCGACTCCCGCATGAGTTTCGCGACACCCGCAGACGGGCACTACGCGTTCCAGCTCACACCGCGTACACACCGTACACCCGCGTTCCTGGGCGGTTCTCACCGCCCAGACCATCGACCGACACGAGCTGAGCAGTCAGAGACGGGGGTCCGCACTCCCCCCCTCGGACTGCGGTTAGATAGCTCAAAAAACGCCTAAAAGAGGCGACATGATGATTGGTAACAATACCAAATCATAAACCATTCATCATCATCCTCACCTCATTGCCTTTCCCTTTTTTAATTAGAGCCCTGAGTCAGATGAAGCTGTAAGAGTCGAAAGACTAACAGGGCTAACATCTAGAATAGATTAGACAGCTCCACCTGGGCATGGTGGTCTATAGCCAGAGGTTTGGTGACCTTGGTTAAAGTTTGGTCTATATCCGAACTGTGGGTTGTAGAGTGAGTTGTGGTCTAATTCCAAATTGTTGGGGTTGCTATGTTGATAATTTAATTTGCTTGCTTGGTGGTATTCTGAATTTAAGTCTTGGTTGAAATTGGATATTATGTTGGGGTTGAAATTATTGAGGCTATTGAAAGTGAGGGCTCATATTTGGTGTGTTTTGGGGTGCCTTAAAATTAAAACTTTGCTGTGGCATTTGTGTATTTCGTGAGAAAAATGGTTTCATTAAGAATTTGTTAACAAAGGGATTTTGAGATACTGGCTGAGGTTTATATTGGGCGTTGTTGGGTAATCGTAACATTTTATTTCTTGCCTAATATTTTATTTATTTTCACATCCTTAACCGTACAAAGCGCAATAAATCCTCGGTAAAATTATATAAGAAAACATTCATAAACGTATGGTTGTATATAGTAATTTTACTCTTACGAAGGTTAATATCTACTATTCTATTAACTTTCGCAATCAGTGTACTCTTTATATTTTGTATTCTATTACAGAGATCGAAATATGATTCACCGTTATTAATTTTTAAAGTTCCCAATTCGATCGCGATATACTCTTTGGATCGTGGATCACCGAAATGTTGCTCAAAAGTTAATTTTAATTTTCACAAGGTTTCAATATCCGGTCTTTCACTAATAAATAATGGCGGCAAATCTGCCTACAAATTTTGGCGTAATTACTTGGAATATGTACAAATCTTGTTCTATATTTCCTATTTCTCTACACATCTATATAACAAATTTTACAGTTACGAATATATAATTAAATAAGTGATTTTCGTCGCCGTCAAATTTTGGAATAATACCAGAAAATTCCTTGGGAATCTGTGTTGTTTTAGGCATTTTTATTAAAGTATATTTGTAATTAATATAGTTCAACTAACATATAAATTTACATAGAATTTAATTTAATTTACTTACTTCCAAATAATAAAAAATATAACAACGCACTTCAAATTTTGGAAATAACGCTACCACTTTGTAGACACATATAATTAAAATGGAATAGGATTGGAAAATACAAATGGAATAGCGATTGGGTCTACTCACATACTGCCTATGTCCCTCCGATAGTCTTAGTTCCGAAGCGTGACGTCCTCGCTGCTTTTCTTCTCGACGAATTTCTTTGGTTCGTGGATTTTAATTAAAAAATACTCGTCGTATTTGACTGAATTTAAGTAAAACGTGACGCGAAAATCCTACCGACTGCGCCAGTTAAGTTATGCAGGGGCCGGATGACGTTTTAAAAATAATAATATATTAATGAAAAGATGTTTGATCGCCACAAGAACGCACTTAAGACTAACTTAAGGAGCTCGGCAGATTCCGTTAGTGCACTCAGCATTTCCTGTTATCTGCAATCAGAATATTCCGCTGATGTGAACCTCTTGGCGGGTCTCGTCACCCGTAACAATCTAGAAAACTGGACCGAAATTTCAAAATATTTTAGTTTTTTCCTGATTTATACACTAAACACTAATAGTATTCTAAATTTGAAGCTTCTATGTCTGCTAGAAATGCCTTAGAGTTTTGATGATCGGTCAGTCAGTCAGTGAGTGAGTGACAAAATAAGAAACTATGACTAGTTATAATTCTAAAACTACTAGTTTAAATTGAATGAAATTTGAAATATGCCATGCTTATATAATGCCTGATTGGTTACTGAAAATCTAACCACGCTTCTAGTTTTATCCACAATGAAGTCGTCTCCTGCTCTGCCGTGCCCCCAAATAATAACAGTATTTAAAGCAACAAAAGGTTAGAATAAGTTATTATAATAATTCAGTAATTTCTTGCCGTTGTAAAGTTGTTAAAACGAACAAGATTCTTAAAAATTGGAAGGAGCATTGCAAAAAAAAAATTTTGTTGCGCCGTGTCTGATAGAACTATAAAAATGAATTTCAAATTAAAAACAAACATTTGATAGCAGTCATTATTATTTATTACTGAGATTCGAGTCTCTCTTGTAACATTGAACTAATTTTCTACTCTTGTAATAAAATAAATGTTTCCTAAGTAAAAATAGTTTCTGATTCGTATAGTATTTTGGAATAGATAACATATTAGCAAAATAACATTCACGATTAATAATTATAAAGGGGAGGAAACAACCTTGGTACGGTGTCAGGGGAACAAGGTCGATCAAAACATATCTGTATAAATTTATAAATTGTATATAGTAACAAGCGTTGCAGCCGCAGAAGAAATAATTGTGTAAATATAGTCTTAAATTTGGAAGAAATTATATAGTTAAGTTCGAAATGATAATACATTAATTGAAATTGAATGATATATTATAACTTTCAAATAAATTTTTCGTTACGAAACGCGCGTAGCCTACTGTAAGTTAATTGTACTACTTTGTCGACTTTGTTGACTTGCACGTGTGCAACCATTCAGTCGACAAAGTTTTACCGCAATCTGATTATACACACAAACAAATATTATTTTTTGTATATATAAAACTATTGTAATTTTCGAAACAATTTTTAAAAAATATATTTAATCTCAAGGTCACTAGCCGCGCGATGCTACGCAAAAATTGATATACTCGAATAGGATTTCTTCCATTAGCTTCAACTCTGAAACATATCTCTAGGTTCACCTTCATCTCTTCTACAATCAATTTACTCATTTATTTATTTTGTCCATTCATTGACTCTAAAACAATAAGATAAAAAGAACTGACCATTAATTGTTTGAGGCCGATAACCATTTTTTGCGTTTAAGATGTTATTTTTTTGAATAAACTGAAGTGAGAAATTCCACCTGATGGTAATAGGTTGCTGTGACCTCGAAACATCTACATCTATCCTTAATTAAGGATCAAAATGCAGATGCGTTGTCACCCCTGAGTGCATGGAAGGAATGCCTCATTTTCAGTAAAAAGCGTCTCTACAATCACCATACGAAACACAGCAGCATGAAACTGCTATTTTGGTTATGGGTTGGCAACCGCAGTTTTTAATTTTAGTCGTTATTAAATATGAAGAATAAATTAAAAGAAAAAAAAGAATGTTTTTATGAAGTAGTAAAATTGAAACTATATAAAAGTCTTGTTTCGAATTCTAATATTAACTACTAATATATTTATTTTCTATTACTGTTGTAAGTAATACTTGCCGTCCCACGTCCTTTATTTCGCTAGAACTCTTAGAGTGATCGTCACAAATATATGTAAAAATAAGAAAATATGTTACGATGTTTAGACATATCAACTCTCGATTAAGAATTAAAACGTAGACGCGATGCCACCTTTTTTACAGGAGGGGGCAAACGAGGATGCGGCTCACCTAATGGTAAGTTACTACCGCCGCCCATGAACAACTAAAACAGCAGGGGAAAACCCCCATAAGGATCTCCTAGGTGTGCGTGGTTTGTGGTTAGCAGTGGCCACATACAACCGCCGGTACGACATACTCAACAGATCGTCGAGTCCGCTGATTCCGTGAGGCGTCGAGGTCACCGGCCCCTAGGCAGATTCTTAGGCGCTCTAAAACGTTCCGAGTTTTAACAGTACCTAGTCGCGTTTTCGAGTGCCACCATTTGCACTTCCCCCAACCCTTTCATTAGGAAAGGGGTAGGCAGTGCCCCAAATGCCTGTACCAACATCGTATATCACCCCTAACATCGCGTCGCGCATCTCAGCCTGTCGTCGTTGGTAACACACAGATAGTGGCAAACAAGAATACGTTCGAACACTACATATTAGGTAGGTTATAGCGACATGTCGGACAAGGGGGGAACCGCCCCCCT